ACACCATTTCTGTTTTTTTATTAATTAAAAATCGCTTGACCTGAGCGGGGATCGAACTCACGACACTTCCGTTAACTTTCTTTGCTTTCAACCACTAGACGATCTCGATTAAGGGGACACTTTGGTGGGGTTGGTTGTAGCTTAGCCATTCCTTTGTAGTTTAGATTGCTTGCTTGCACACTCGTTTAACACGCCCGCTTTGTGAGTAGGTAACTTTTCTACGGGACAATGGAGAAATGCAACCATTGAGTGCCTGCCTCCTCGTGGCATCACTGGATAAGGCCAATGGCGATGCTTCAAGAAGTACCACTATTGACTAACCAAATGGCACTCCAGCAGAGCCCAACGCCACGGTGTAAGGTAACGTGCCTAAGGATGAATGGCCGCAGGGCTTAATATGCGGTTGCGAACGTTCCCAAAAAAATTGACACCCAAGGAGAAGAGTCGGATACAGACGACTCAGGCTCCTTGAACATGACTGTCGAAAATATTGCGTTAGCTTTGGACTCCGACAACTCAAGGGAAGGAGGAACTGCGAAAGCAGAGAACTCTAACCTCTAAGAGGATCTGTGAAATCAGACGACTGCTCCCAAACAAAAGAAACGGGGAAAAAAGCAGAGGTTAATCCTGCTGATAGACCGAAAAAACCTTCAGGAGCGGAGAGGAAGAAGCTTCTGAAGGAACGTGGATGGAGGAAAATCCCCACAAGAATGCAGCTCAAAAAGGAATCCAACGGAGGGAGGACCAAACGAAGAAAGGGGATAAAAGGCCCCGATCTGAGTCGCAGACTCCCCTCACTTGAAGTGGAACTAAGCGGGCCAGAAATGCTCCGGCATCGGCTGGCTCGTACAGCGATACTTTGAGGGGTGTCCGACTGGCTGTATCTAGAGAAGGTAGCCAGATACAACCCTAGACCAAGCACAAGGAGACTCAGTACAAGAAACTCTTGTGGAAAGGCTCTACGCTGTCCCTTCAGGCAGTGGAGGAGCACCACAGTTCCTTAAAACATCGTTTAGCACAGGGGTCATTTGGATGACCTGCGCTAACCAGCAGACCGCAAACTGGTTAAGAAGGATGCTACAGCTACAGAATACAGAACTGAAGACGCCAGACTGGCTTTTAATAAGCAGGAAAATTGAAAAGGAAAAGGAACTCCTAGCCTTTTCAATTGGCGAAGCATCGTACCTGGCCCTCGAGAGGTCACAATTCCGGGCCTATTATAAGCTAGGAAGGGTGACCTTCAGGAACCTAAGGCGGCCTGGCGAGGATCAGGATAATCCAGATCAACCTCCAGCACAGTAAGGCTGCTTCGGCTGTACTTACAGTGGCGATGGGGAGGTTTCAAGTGGCCCTGGTACACGAACCGTGAATTATACACGGTACAATAAGATGTTTAGGAGGGTTGGGTTTCATAAACGACTGGATTCGGGAACAACGTATTAACTATTGGGGAAGCACCCCAAAACAGGCACATGGAAAAGCCTCCATAGGCAGACCATGTCTCAAAAGAACTGGAGAACTACTCTTTATGAATAGGAACCAGTTGAAAGTGATAACAGGATTCATAACTGGGCACGCCCCAGTAAAGGGACACTTGAACAAAATTGGCATGTACAATGGGGAACTCATGTGCCGACTATGTCACAAGAAATCAGAAACGGCCAAACACATACTGTGCGAATGCAAACCTCTAGTTCGCAAAAGACAGGCTCTTTTTGGACAACCCCATGTTGATCCAACAACGTATAGAACCCACTCACCCAAGGATCTGTACAAACTTGCACAAGGTACAAAGGTGACAGAGTGGGTGCTATGAACTAACATGGGGCAAAACACAATAAGCCAATAGGCTTCAGTGTTATTCGGAGACATAGTCAGACGAGCCCAGGAGAAAAAAGGGGGGACACTTTTTACTAGATATGGTCATAATAGAATTAGATTTCATACTTTTGCTGAGAGAACGAAATGCAATATTCAATTTGTCAATTTTTAATGACCAATTGTATTAAAAAAAAGAAAGTGTATACATAGATGGATATTATTTGGTAGGCTAAATAAATAATGACCTAAGATGGACGTCCACTGAACGTCAAAATACTACTAAACTTGAAATTTATTCCAAACACAGAGGTCCTCTGGTTATCGATATGCAGCGGTCAAATAAATGATCATAAACGGACTTACACTGGATGTCCGAATACGAATGTGAAGAATCTGGCCATCAAATGGATCTAAAGTGGACGTTCATTGGACTATGTGTGCTGTCTGGGTACGAGGTTTAAACACAGACGCCGGGTGAGCACATTACCCCCAAATACCAAAAAGTTTGCCGACATCTCTGGTGATACATTCATACATCTTTACCGAGCCCAACATCCATGTACTCGGGGCCGATGATTTTACATCTCCTCCGAAAGGTGACACACTCCACGCTATACCTCGTTCTCACTGATTTATCGCCTGCTAGTTGTAGTATGCAACTACACGGGCAGTTTGTTTAGGTTTTAGTACACCCAATTTCCTTGAAATAGTCACTCAACCGTACTTACTGTGCGCTGAACGGCAGATATCAATACACTATAGTGAACCTATTAAGTCGGTTAAATAGTTATAAATAGTTATAAATAGTTAAATATTAATAAAAGGAACCAAAAGAGGTTTGCACACAGCTTATATCAGCAAAGAATACTAACAAAAAGAAGAGTTAATGCCGGTCTAGGTCAGGTCACTCCAAGTGTGATTCCAGTGAGAGCAAAGAGAGTTGGAATTTATTTAGGTTTTGATAAATAATTTAAAAATGAGCAAATGATATTGAAAATGTTATTTAGTTTTAATAAAAGGTTTAAGAATTCTCGAATATGATTTTTAATTTAAACTGATTTAATAATATGGAGAATATTAATAAAAATGTTTCTTGTGTCCTGTGAAATGTACACGTAACTGCTACTAATATTTTAACAAAATTCAGTTATAATCTCACAACTTTTATTTAAAACATTTACAATTTTTTTGGAAAATAAATATTTTATAATTTATTTGGGCTCTGGCAATGTCTATAAATATATAAAATTGTATTCTAATACTCGATGACAAACTGCTTAAAACAATTAAACGAAACGCTGCATTTAAAATGTCAAAGAGTCTACACTTATATTCGGGTAGTCACCAATTACCCAAGCGGAAGTCGGAGTTTCCGACCTGCCTTACTTACAACGACTTCCTGTTTTCGATTTATCAAACTACACATCGCATATCACACTGAAGTAATTAATGTACCCTTATCGATTTAGTTGGGTAATTGCCACGAACAAATACGAACCCTTTTATCTTTCATCGACTGATGTGAAAGTTATTTCACTTTTTACTTTACCTACTCTTTTTGTTGCCGAAAAGTTTGTTAAAATAATTGGTACTCGTTTTGTTTAAACAAAAAGTATCAGTAATATGTAATAATGTTAATTATATTTATTAGTGCCTGGAATAATATTATACAAAAAAGTATACATAAAATTGCATAGTAGAGGAACTGGTCCTAATATGGGCACACAGATAATTTATAAAGTGGACGGTGCTATTTTATAAATATGTTTTCTTTTCTCTATCATCTGGCGAAAAGCTCTGATGGTAGCCTCTGATTTCTTCATAGAACCACTGATCACATTGTGGCACATAATTTTTCGCCAGAGTCATGATGTGATCAAATTTATTTTTTTTAGCTTTCGTCTTTCAATATACATCTTATTTGGTAAGGTCAGGGGCTACACATTCCTCCTATCTCGGATTTCAAAAGCATTGAACAAATTGAAAGAGACTGTTTCACTGCATTTAAAAGATATTTCAGTACCTCGTTTGACATAACGCATGATTCGATATTTTGAAATCGTAAATTTATTGTTTTTCCTTGAAGGATTCTTTACAAAAAACTGCTGCAAATGGGCCTTGAAATTTAATAATATATCCTGCGTTATATGGATAATTTTAGAGTTCTTGTTTGTATTTTCAATAATATTCCAGTACTCTTCAGGCAAATATATTTTGTCATTTTTTCTTTTGTGTATTTCTGTAGCTCCAAAGCTCATATCGCACGGAATGAAACTATGTCCAGGTTCAGGGTACCTGTGCTGTATTTGCCTGAATATTCCAGTTGTTGCCAACAAAGTATAAAGGAACTGTACTAAAACATGTATATATATCAGCTACTTCTTTTTTTATGTAGATATTAAGAAAATGGTATAGCAGACTGGCTACATCATTTTGTCCTTTAGCAGCCAATGTTTCATCATAGTCATAAGAGAAACTTTTCCCAGTACTTCCTACATGGACACAAAAATTATATAGCCAAAGTTGGATTTTGTAGAACACTTCTCCACTGGAGGATACAGAAAGGGGCAAATTTTGTTGAAAATCAAATGTCAACATTTCTACACTTGGGTCGTTTTGTGCTGAAGCTGTTTTATTTTTAATATCGGTATAGAAAGTTTTTGCTTTTTTAATATGCAATTTTTCCAACTGTGTCTTTTGTTCTTCATTGATTTATTAGTTTGTCACATTTTTGGCATATGTCCGACTTTGGTTTACCAAAAGACATTTTAAGGTTTGCTGTAAAAAACTTTCTGTAACATTCATATTTTACATTAGGCCTGATATTTTGATTTTCATGAAGTAACTGTTTGGGTTCATATTTCTATAGGTACATGTGATGCATTTTGGCAACACTGAGGAGAGGTGATAGATAATAGTGGTTCAAGTTGTCTTTTAGACTATAATGTGATTTGTATTTTGGATAACTAAGAATATGATCACTGATCACGTATCTTATCATCAGTGCCTTCAGGTAGTTTATTAGGCCTGAACACATGCTTTCCTTTGCTATCTATAGGAGGAGCTCCGTGTCTCACATTTAGGTGCTTCTGTAATCGTTCAAGTCTTGCTTTTGTGATTCCACGAAGAGAGAGAAATGCTTTTTTGCAAATTTTCCACATCACACCATTGCAGCGAATCTATAAGGAAATGTTGCATTTTTTTTTATTTCCATCACCCGAACGTGGTCTAGTTCTCTGTACTTTTATCTTGAAAATATTGCCATACAAATATGCATCATGCAGATCTTTTGATTTCATATCACAAAAATCACGAAATATTGTTTCACCAGTTTCTTGTCCAATTTCATCAAAACACTTTAGTTTACAGTGGAAGTTACTACCAATATGTTCTCCAGGTTTATTAATACCTGCAACGTTTATATAAGGCTCACTCTTAGCTCTTCTAGCTTTTTGTATGTTTCTTTTCCATGATTGTCTACGTACAAGCCGCTTCTTTCCTCGTTGAGGCGTGTTTTCAAGAATTACAGGTATTTGATCACTTCCATCTTCGGATGTAACACGGACGTTTTCTAACATGATAGGGACAGTTCCAGTGCCTTGAATTTCCTCATCAGAATCATTCGAAGACGAGCTTGTTGAAAGTGGTCTTTTGAGGTTAGGGTTATGTTTGTTATTACCCGGCACATAATCTTCGTCGCTGTCTGTACCAGTGCCTCCAAAAAGATCATCTTTACTTTCATTATCATTTAACATTATTTTTTGAATGAAAAATTGATATAATTCAAGAGAGCAGGAGCGCCATATGAATAACAGCACGTTTATGTAGCATTTAAGTTTTGACTGACAGCACTTTGCAAAAACCGGTGAAGTCCAGGACTTGACCGGTTTATGCAAAGTATTAGAGCATAGGCAACCAATTATACACTGTAGTTTCCACAATTTAAATGTTAGAGCGCTGTTTTATGCACTGGAAGATGCAGAATTTAAAACTGTGCAATAAAATGAACCTCATTTTGCCCAAAAAATTTAACCGGTTTATGCATTGGACCCATCATTTGAACAATTTCTGACGTGTCACCGTGCTCATGTCAAATTAATTTAATTACTTAGTTTATTAAAAATTGGTGTCAAAACAAATTACAAAAATGAGTAGTGGCGAAGAATTCATTACAGACACGCCCCTAAAAATTATAAACGCGGCAAATTTGGCATCTTTGAAATTGATTCCAAAAAAATCAAAATTGGTATATGAAAGAACCTACTTCAGATTTGAAAATTCTAATTCTAATTCTTAACTATAGAGGCCATGGCCGATAAAGTACTTTATGAAGTTTATACAAAAAACGACGTTCGAATAAAAATAATTTTTTATATCTTAATTATTAATGGATTCAACAAAGCAGACCCTTGCTTCAATAGTGACACAACTCAAAATTCATATCTTTCGAGTTAACACTGAGTTAATACCTTTATTAATGGAATTAGTGGGATTAATAGGATTATTGGGATTAAACATTTCTACATCAAAATCTCAATAATTACACAAGCGCCATCTAGACGAATCTTTTCTAATCTAAGTTAAAACAATTTTTATGATTTGTGTAGGTTTGTTTACTAATCACATTTCTGGTATTAATTCAAAATATATGAATTTTTAGTTGTGAGGCTTTTGAAGTAAGTGTGAAATATAGGTATTTCTCGACGAGTTTATGTCAAATACATTTTCATCCAGAAGGTGCAGGTATATTTATTGGTTAGAGACAGAATTAGTGACATTACAGAAATTTTCAACAGTAAATTCTGACCTATTAGTTATTGATAGGGATTGCAAACAGGTTTGTAAATGACGAAACGAAAAACAGACTAGAACATAAATTAATTTTTTTTGTAGTATCTGAATTTGATATTAGGTTCAAAATGGGTAAAGGATCCAACTATTTTTACATGAACAGGCGTAAATACAAAATACGGCCAAATGGGCAAGCTTCAGAGGTAAAGGATCAACATATATTTTTACATGTGCAGGTTTAAGAGGTAAAAGACCTAACTATATTTCTATGTTCTTGCTTAAGTGAATGGGACAGAAATATTTTTAAATAGGTAGGTATAAGAAAAAATTCTTTAACATAAGTTGTTTGAAATTCAAACAATTTCCAAGCCCTTTTCAAAGAGCGACATATGAAGAAAATCTACGTGATTTGGCCTAAATAACTCCGATTAATGTACAAAGGTGAAAGTTCAAGGTCTTTAGTTCTAAATCAAATCGTTTCTTTCATGTTACAACTTTGGTCTTGGCTCCTCAGTCCAGATAGGGTGGACACCAACAATTTATTTTTATTTTCAATGTTTATTTGTCCACTACCACCCACCCCTAAAAGTGTGTCAGTATATTAACGGGAAATATATTACACATTGTTCATTAACATAGCGCAACACATTTTGCAGATCAAGAATGGTTGAATATAATAAACCTTCAATATTTATGTTAATTTAGAAATCTGAGTGAAAATATCAGATTATTCCAATATCAAATCTATTTACAGTACCTGCTATATCGAACGTTTTATAATACGCTTTGCTAATATCCAAGTGAAAACTGCAGAAAGTTAGCATTAGAACAAGCAGGAAACGAATATATTAACGTAGCCAGCCGGTCGCGTGCGGTTATATCTCTCCGTGTGCCTATTCACATCGAACAGTGCACAAAGCATCGTTGATATTATTCGTTTTCTGCTTGCTCTAATGCTACCTTTCTGTAGTTTTTAATTCGACATTAGCCAAGCGTATTGGAAAGTTTTCAATAGCCAACACTGTATACCTTACGATTAATACTTCAAATTAGATTACGTATTCTACGTATTCTAAAAATAAAATTAAATACAGGGTGTTCTATTTAAAAAACATACATTTTTATTTTTCAGGTAAAAACGTAACAACCTATATTTAAATTTTTTTTTGAAATATGTATTTTTCAAGCCCATATAACTTTTGTTTGCGTATCTATAACACAAATTGAAATATTGACTAATTACGCACTAATGAGACACCCTGCATACGTATTACTTGTATAGTAGCATCTAAATGTTATAAACACGGTTGTTTTAGTATAAAAAAATGTTATATCTGAGACTAATGAATTAATTTTGTTAAAATTTGTAAGAATAGTTTCATCTAAAATATTTTGACAGTTCAGATCATGTCTGCTTGTCCCAGAAGTAGATGTCAACGTTCCTATTTTAGATGGGTCAGCCATCCCTATATTTTTATTCCGGATTTCGATAGAACATGAAATTTGAAGGTACAACTAAAATTATTGATAATTTATGAAATAAAAATTATTTTCGAAAAAAAAAAGAAATGAAGAATGACGGGATCTATTAAAATAATATTTATTTTTAGTTTAAATTAGTTTTTTTTTTAATTAAATAATGCTGAAGCATTAAGAAGATAGAAACTAAATAGTACATGACCCATCAAAAGATTTTTTAATATAGAGGGTGAGAAAAAACTGATTTAAATTTTGCTTAAACAATAATAATTAATATTTTCAATTTTTTAATGGATATTATAATTTCATCATAGTCTACAACCAAAAATAAGAGGTGTTCGTATTTATTTCCCAATACTTAACTATTTATTTTACAAGGCTTGTAACAGTTTGACACAAACATTTAAGATGCCTACTTGATAGAAAATATTAAATTTATCAGAAAAACTATTATTTTAATATTCTTTTTTTTTGTAAGAATGTAAGCTCTCACGGCAGCTATAAGAAGTCTCAATGAGGATGAAAACATCATAATTCTACCCTCCGACAAAGGAAATTCAACAGTTCATCAACGTATCGGACTACAGGAGCAAGATAAATAATCTGGTCAATCAAAACAGATCCAGCACCAAAATAATCAGAGTCGTCACTACCCTCGGAGACAAAGAAAAAAAATCTGCAATACTGAAGCTTTAACACCAAGACTATATGGATTACCAAAAAGTCACAAAGATAGTGTATCACTCAGACCATAGGATCACCTTACAACCTTGACAAACATGTGGCGGAATTTCTGCAAACACACGCGGGCAAGACAAAACCCTACGTGCGAGACTCTAAGCACTTCATTGAACACTTAAAGAGTATCAGATTAAAACCTAACGATATTCTAGTTACCTTTGACATCATCTCTTTATTTACAAATGTGCCACTCGAAAAAAAAAGTCAGCTTACAGATGAGTTATTTTCCGACACTGACTCACAATATCATATTTCCAGTAGAATCAAATATTCTATGAAAAAATCGACGGAGTCGCCATGGGCAGTCCACTCAGCCCAGTTGTGGCCAATTTTTGCATGAAAAAATTTGAAGATAGGGCTATTCGCACTGCTAAAAACCAACCAAAGTATTGGCTGAGGTATGTATAGATGACACATTTGTAATCTGGTGTCACAGGAGAAAATACCTTCAGAATTTCCTAAACCATCTGAACATTTTTCATCCTAAGATCCAGTTCACCATGGAAATAGCCGATAAACTAGGCCACAGAGTACACAGAAAAAAGACACACATTGATCGATACCTACACTATGGATCCAACCATCATTCAAAACAGAAGCGCACAGTTATCAACAGAGCGTTAAGGATATGTGAACCAAGACACATCAACGATGAAATGAAATACCTGACGACACTGTTACAAGCAAACGGATACAGCAAAAAAGGCATATAACCCGTGCTACGCGCCCAAGGGAGAATAAGACAAAGTCTAGTGAAATTCAAAACCAAGGAACTGTCTATTTACCGTATTGGCAATTAAGACGGCTGCCGTAGTTCCAGCTGAAACGTTTGATAATAATAACCAAGAAAGACCACGGCATAACAGCCCGGAAACAAAAAATTATTTATTTTTTTATTAATTTTTATCTTATAAATTATCAATCTTAGCTGGCCATTTTATTATACAAAATGACCCTAAAATTTTATGTTATAGAAGAATCTGGAATAAAAATAGGTGTTTTCCATTTAAAATAAGAATGGTTGACATCTACTTCCGGGAAATGACAAAATTGTCAACATATTTTAGTTTGAAATATAACTATTCTTACTAATTTATTATTAAAATTTATGTGGCAAAGCTTTTGAGTATTATTTTGTCTTTTTGAAGAGTACCACTTTCGAGCAGTTCAATACCCTCCAACATTTAAATAAATATTAGTTTTGGTCAATGGAAATAGATATTTAGTTGAGTAAAAAGATTTTATTAATACAAATAATAAATGTTTGTTTGTTTGTTTGTTAGATGCTTAATTAAAATAATAGCCCTCACCCCACTTTGATTGCGATTCATTTGACTTTCTCAACGAACAATTCGAAAAATTAGAATAGCCCCACTAAAAACCCTTAGAGGAATTTAAAGAACGCGAACATCAAGAGTGGACGTAATTAAAGAATACACGACAAAACCCGTGTTAACAAGAGAGCCAGACAAAGAGAGTAGGTATCAGGGAGTCAGGCCGAGGCAGACTCCATCCGATAAAGACTCCATTAGTCAGGGCCAACTAAGATAGCGTAAGTGCACATATCAAACAAACTCGAATCGACAATATAACAGCGCGACACGGCCGTCTGGATCGCTTTTAGTTTTAGTGTCCAACAATTGCCCAGATGGATTTAAAAATGCCCCCGATCTTTTGTCTGCGCTGTTCAGGTATTCCGTTATCGGGGCCTTTCGAGGAACGGCTCTCTTCCAAAACCTTTTAC